TTTTCCCCCCCCCCCCCCTTCGTTGTCAAGGTAACTGACGACGGATGTACACGTGACATTGATGCAACATGCAGACTATAGACGCATCGCCATTAACCAATAAACAGGCGGTACATGTCCATGAAGGTCGTTTGAATGTTCACACTGTAGAACCCGTTCAAGCCAGGGCAAACAGCGCGAAGTTCAGTTGGGCCAATCTACTAGTACGTGAGAAGCCATGATTGGCGAACAGACCTTCCTGCAGTCTTCAGTCGACGCACACCGCGGGCCCCCGACCTTGCGACAGCCGGCCACATGCCTGCCGCGACCCACGGACCGCTTTGTGAAAGCCTTCTTCTGGCTCCCAGTGCCCTCGGTGATCTTCATTCGCATCTGTCACAAAAAAATTACCGAGCAGGTTAGCTCAGGAGGGAAACACGGGTTTTCCTCAGTCGCTCAGTCCATGGAAACAAATTAAGCCACGACCTCGAAACTTCTGCAAGCGACACTTGTGTTCGGTGACGAACGAATCTGCCACGAGGCATCGAGCAGTACATTTCTTCGGAAAAAACCGACAGTGGCTCGTCTGGCAAAGAAATGCACCGGCTTTAATGGAACCTATCGGCGGCCAAATGTTTCAGGCGACTGCAGTGAGCTTTGCTATGGAGTCCTTACCTGGTACACACCGCAACTCACTCAATGACAGAACGAACGTTGGCTAACATGTCACGCCACGCGCATCGGTCAACAGCCTTCGCCTCCTACGACGAGGTCGAATGGGGGCGTCCTACCGGAAACAAGCACTGATCCTGGACAGTGGCTAAAGGAAGAGATGGGCGGGACGTGTAGCGCGAATTGCACGTGGAAGACTGAACAGAAGGGACAAGATCTCGGCTTGAATGGCACGACAGAAAATTTCTTTACCAGATGAGCCACTACCATCTTCTCAAAACGGACTCGACGTGTCACTGGAATCCTGATGTAGTTACACAGTGTTTACCGCGAATGGAAGGTGTTTCTTGGGAGTATAATGGAGGAGGTTACAGGGCAGTTGGGCGGGGAACAAAAGAAGCATTTCAGTATAAGGCGTGAACATGAATACAAATTACAAAACATTAAGATGCAAATATTCATAGCCGTAAGCCTTGAAAACTAACCAAGTTGAAGTTGTATACTTCATTACACACGCGTACATTAACTCATTAGTGTCTCCCCGTCACGGTTTTAAAACATTTTGTAGATGAAACAGAGACCAATTCTTCGCCATTTTTGACTGAAAACCCTAACAAACGTTTCAAACAAGGAATCAATTTAGTCGCCTATATTGGTCTACAATTTCACTAGCATAAATACCAACTGACGTACCTGTCGGACATTTCTTCTAGCTTGCTTTAATGTTCACTGCTGGCATAATTACCGAGTTTAGCAAACACAATTCACATAAAACATATACTAGGAATCAACATTCTTCATTCACAAATAATAAAGGCATCAGTATTTCAATGTAATCACACAGCCAACTACAAACACGGACTTCTCAATTCACTACAGCCGCCACGCAGCAACGCGAATGAAAACTTCAATTGTTTCTTGTTTTCATTCCTGGCCAGGAGGTGGCATCCAATGTTTACAGCGATGTTACACTACAATATTTCCAAGCCTCGTGAACCGCGTCGGCAATCTTTGGCAAGAAATCGATTTTCAGACTGTAAAATATCGAAACCTTCAAGTTTCAATCGCTTCAGGAAGAAATGGCATGATTAAACTACACTTTAAAGTACGGGGGGGAAAATACTAAAAACACAAAGCCGTATTGCGCAATACGTAGGCATGTTTAAAAACAACTGAGTTATGAAATGCCATACATAATTAACTCTCGTCATGAAACATCACCAATTCATTCGATTATCGAATAAGCACTTTTAAGTAACCATGGTTACTTCATGTGGAGTCAACCCAGATCTGTGCGCCCAAAATATGGTTATATATAAATATTTATTAACCACTATACAGATAATTCATCTGTACTACTAATGCACTTTCTATATTCAGAACGCTTTTTACCAGAAAGAGTGGTGTATAAATAAACATATGAAACACCTGTTTCAAGTAGATTTTATTGTTTGCCACTGGGTCACCTACAAAACAGGGGAGGGATGTTCATAATACAACTGACCATGTGCAAAAAACATGAAAATTTACTCTCTTGATGCTAAAAGCACGACCTCTCTCTAGACTGAAAGGCCTCCATACACAACCAATACTACCTAAATCTAACCTTTAACCTTACCACAGAGAAGGAAATGGTGCATGAGTAGGAAGAAAGCTTGCCACTTCTTGGCATTTACTTATTTAAAAGTACAAAATGCCATGGGGTTCTCAGCAATGTCCTTACATCCCCAACCACCAAATTAAACTGTCATCAATGGAGTAGAATTTGATAATTAATGCACGAAAGACAATGAAATACACACGCAGTCCAGGAAAGGTCAAATTATTCCAGAATGTACCATGTAATTTCAGCCTCATAACTGGGGTGAAAGAATTACATAAGTTAAAAATATATTTCCATTTTTCATGTACCATTACTTACTACAGGATGTTGCATCTTCCAGTCAAGTTGTTGGTTACTTGAATTCTTTAAATTGCAGATTGCCACAAACAAATGCACTTTAAGCTCAAATGAAAATACTTTTATAATCCTCGTACTTCCAACAGCATGCCAGGGCAGGCGCCATCCGACCCCTCCACGATTCAGCGCGAGATTACTGGCCAAAACGGCACACTGCTGTTATTCAATAAAAACTAAAATCAATATTAAGAAGGAACACCTTTTTTTAAAATCCGATCACCCCCATGGGTAGAATCAGGCGATCTTATTAAAAGCCGTTCCGCGGTAACTAATGCGACGCCACTACCTTACAATGGCATTACTGAAGAGTGCGGAGCAAGTCTGGGAAATCAACAAAACCGAATTCACAAACCTCGCGTTACACGAGTCTCAATGGTAAAATAGGCAGGAACCGCAAACAGAGAATGTGGAAAATTTGCATTGACTTCGTGAATGCTGAATGGAACATCACGCGGTTATGATATGAAATGGACACCACCGAGTTGTGTACTTCTGCAACGCTTTCTTCCTACAAAATATTAAGACTTTGACGTGTGCACAATAATAATGAGGTATTGAAAAAGACACCAGTCTGAGGTATTGTCTAGTATTTCTAGCTTGTACACATTACAATTCAATTTCTGGAACCACAACCATCCTGGAATATTCTGGTGTTAAAATCGTGGCATTTATTTTTTCCATTCTTATTTTGTAGGACCAACACGTCAAAAACTTTGCCATCGCTCACATAAAGCACAGACGGAGAACAAGGCTCGGAACTGGGGAAGGGTCGCGGGCGTTTTGTTCCGACGCACCCGTTAGCGCGCCTGCTGCCTTCCGCGGGACTGCGGAGATATCGAGGTAAATGCGACCGGCTCTGGACGGCTCTTTCTTTCATTTTTACGATAAAGAGTTTTGATTTCTTTCAACACAGAGTTCAATAACCTCACAATTTCAAGAATTGAAATATAGAAAAATTCTTTTAATTATGCACAATTTTAATGTCAATTTATATTGAGTACTTGTATAAAAATATACATGGCAACCCTGTGCCACAGTTCAGGCTTGTTCCCATCTTGCCAAAACCTTTTGCCAAACAAAACTTATATATATATTATATAATTGTACACATTAAATCATGTGAACGTGCTTAATAATAATTATTACTTGGATGCATAGCAACGGTACTATTTCCTCCGCTGACATTCAGTTGCGGTGGACACCACAGGTAATGGAAGCAGTGAATTTGAATTACGTAGTTTGATTCCTCGTCCAGTCGCATATTTAAATATGACGCGTCGCTCGACGCGCTGCCATACAGAAGGAATGTCAATTAAATTGCTGCCAGAATTATTTTCTGATATTCCAGAAGTCTCGATTTAACAAAACACCATTCTCCGCTTAGTACGCCGACATAAAACGTCACGTGCGCCGTCGGCTATAAGAAACACAAAACACGGTGATTGGTCTTGGCCCATTGATTAGTTTCCTGTCTACTGCAATGACAGCAGCAGTTTAGCAATATCGTCTTTAAATCTAGAATATTAAAAAATAGCAGCTTTCAATAACCATCCCAAGGACACACAATAAATAGAATACATTACGATCTAGTTGGGACGATTCTTGAAGCCAGAAATACAAAAACCCTCACCACACATACTGACCTTATATTACAATATGTACAATATAATATTGATTTGAAGGAGGGCGGCAGGAAACAGGTTCATGCTGTTTGCTACCTGAGTGCACGACATTCCGATGAGCAAAAGGCGTATGTACCGTGGCGTATCAAGCCATGAGAGCAAATGTTTCGAGTCAAGACAGTGGTGAGCAACTTCTTGTAATAATGCCACACTGAAATAAATTGCCAAGCATTACGATCAGAAGCGCAAAATTTTGTCACTGAAAAATTCCAAGTTGTGCCGTAAATACAGAGGATGCCCGAGAAAAAGTGAGAACGTTCTTTTTATATATAAAATCTTAATCTCAACGCTATGAAACTGGATGAACACACGCGCAATGTCTTTGTACCACATCCTGTTTCAAATTATGTTGACATTATCACTTTTTAAGTTCAGTTCGAGAAAGTCACTCGGTATTGGTCCTCGTTTATAGTAGGACAGATGAAATGCGCAGTAAATCACGTTCCCGCTTATTGTGGCTCTCTGATTTCTTAATTCTACGAGTTCTCTACTTTCAACTAGGTCCGTGATCTCGATAATGTAAAAATCGTTGCAAATCGTTAAATAATCTTAAGTTCTTAAGTGTACGAAAATAACACCAAGGGCAGTGTTAATTGTAAAGATAAATTATTGGCAGTTTTACAGCACAGCATCAACGCACATCTCTCAACCAGCTCCATAAATATGATACGCCAAGGCAAGATACTATAATGTGGACTTACAACATTTACAGATTTAGGAAATGCAATATCTTCCTACGTTCCTGATGTAAAAATCACAACATGCAGTATAAATAATTATGCTAGCTCACTTCCATCATTTAAATTTAAATTGAGATGCCCAATATCTGACTACTATTGGCAATGCCAAAACACGGCGACATCAAATCCACGATAGCGCACGCTGCATAATTAAGGAATGAATTTCCTTCGTGCAGGGAGAGCAGACACTTTCCTGCAGAAAGGTAAGTTGATCCAGAGACCAGATACAAATGGCAGTGATTGGTGTAAAATTAAACATCTACTTCATTGTGTTAATGGTCAAGACGAACTACGACCTACACTTCACGGGGGAATGGAAACGGCCTTTGGCAACAACAGAGACACGTTCTAATTACCTGGGAACGCCCCTTCTCCAAATATTAGCGATCAAGACAAAAAAGATTATTTATATGTAACACCCACACACAGTTCTAGACACCACACGGAAGTTAGGTTATGTTCACACATTGGGACAAGCATCTGATAAGGCCTCTGTAAGATGAACAGAACAAGATTCAGTATCTATTTCTTCCCTAACCTAATCTACGTGTAAACCTAACCTAACCTAACCTAACCTATCTGGATAACTCAAAGGCAACAGTATGTAGGACTTCTAAGATAACTTTTTAAATATTTCATCAGCCCATTCATCGTACCAACGTAAGTTCTTGCAGATATATCACCACATTTACTCTGTAAAATACCTGGGTATTGTTAATGTAACAACTGAAATCCAGTAAATGGTAGCACTGGATAGAAGAAGAAACGAGACGACGGCGCAACGCGCTGATTTTGCCTGCACTTCAATGATGGGTTCCCAAAGTGATCAACCACAAGTGAAGAAAGTGAAACGTGAAGACAAACACAAATGACGCAGACTGCTCGTACTTTTCTCTTAAGACGCAAAGCCACGCACGGCCTACAAACGCCGCTGTGAAAACTACTGTGCGTCCGAATGCAGTCGCAATGCGCATTGCTTTATATATATAGTATATATACACATGTATGTATGACCACCAAAAAATCTGATGGAAACGTATAAAAAAACACTAATGTAATAGGAAACATTGACTTAAATTAACGACAATTAAAAAAAATATTTTGACATAGATGACTAAGTTGTTGATTATGAGATCGATGGATTTTTTTTTAATGCTTCTAGAACTACCGTTCCTGATTTAAAAGTTAACGGATATCATCACGAACGGAGTGCATCGGGCCACTCTCGGCTTATTGCGTGCAGTTCTGTTACACCGGCTACACGCTGCTTACCTGTAAATCTGACGTAAAATGGGACATCAAAGCGAACGACTCACTTACAACTATGTACAATAGCATCCTAGAACACTAGAAACAATTACACAAACCCTGACAGACAGAAATGCGTTATTCATTTTAAAAAATACCCCAATACGATTAATCAGTCTATAAAAGAAATAAAATAAACCCGACAATTATTTACATGTTTTGAATTGTTGGAAATTAACAATACCCACAAGAATGTTTCTAAAATTCCAGGTGTTCTCAGTAAATCACAGATTTTACAGTACAAATACGATAAAATCAAAAAGGAGGAAACTTCGCTGTGCCCTGACTCAACAGGCAGAGCTAAAAATTGTGGAATTATAACCGTCATTTCAATCCAAAATAACTCGACGTTATCAGGAAATAAAATACAAAAATTATAAGACGATTAAATTCTGCTGGGTGACAGGAGGCAACTTGGAATCTCAACTTGTCCCACGATCACAGAACATTCAGTCATCAGATTTATAGTACAGTAAATCCTCATCTGTGGCACGGAACCGTCTCCTTTCACGCCGTCCGGTACCACGAGCAGAGCGCACGGATGCCGCTGACAAGTGGCAACACTGGCCGATACGTTGAGCTGATTATATTGTATTTCCTGCAACCAGGCAGAAATACTTTGCACATTTCACATCTCGTCCTTTAAAAGTACGTCCCTGGTAATCACAATACGCTTACGCTTCCATTTACCAATAGAAATGGTTTTACACTTTGCTGCCAATCCCTCAGAAACCTTCGAGGGAGCCTGGCGATGCTTTTGGTATCAATTCCACTAGGACCAGATCCACTTCTGGTGTTCGTTCTCTCGAGTGCGGTGGCACGTGGCTTGCGCACGCGCACAATGCACCATTACTGCTGTAATTGCTATATACAGGTGAAGAAGGGAAGGAGACAAACTTAATTGAGTTAGCGCCCGTTCCTGTGATGGTACGCACACAAAAAGAAAAGTTTTTGTAAATCTGCATTCCCATGCTTCTACGGCAATATTCATTTTGGATTCCTAAAACAGGCTTTGGTGCGAGGTGGTAGGCCACGCCCCGCTCGGGTGACACGGAGGCACCCTGACCATCAGACGAGAGTGAAGACTTTTCACGATTGCAAACTAGGGTGGGGATAGCGTCACTCCCACTGGTGGGGCGAGGGAGGCAGTTCAGACGGGTGGGCAACAGTAGAGCTAGAAGAACAAAGAAATCAAAATGTTACGAAACACGAAAGCAAAACTTCAATTTCTGAACTTAAGCCGAGTTACAACCTGTTATCAATACTACAAAATGTTTTTCTTTGAATGAAGCAGTTATTTTATAAACATCTATTACCTAACCTAACCCTACAGCAATAATTTGTAGCATTTATGTAGCACTCTCTCTCTCCTCCAACGTAAGGTGTCAAAATGACGAGCCACACGAAGGGCACAACATTCTGTAAACAAATAGAGCACTAAACAAGTGAATATCTGGTTATTTATTGAAAACAGGTTCATTATTTGTCATTTACAGTGCAGTCAGCTCTCAATTTTTATCGTAAAATTCAACCTCTTACAAACGGCACCGACGAAGACTCTAATTTTTACCCACCAAAACAAAACATGTTCATTAATCGAACAAAAAGTTCCAACACGAAACACGGTCGACGCGGCGCGGCAAAGAACGCCGAGAACTGAATGCACTTGAATAAGCTACGAAAATAGAGGAAGGCGTGGACTGTACCCTCAGCATTTCCGGAGGTCGCAACACGGTTTATAGCTTTAGCGTTATCGGGCAAGTAGTAAGAGTAGTGAAGGTCTTCGGTCAGCCGCCGCCTGCCACATGGCTGAGCCTGCAGCAGCCTTACCTGGCAAAGCTCTTGAAAGCTGCAGACTGAGGGTTAATGCACAACGGGACTCTACTGGTATTCAGTTGTTCCGCAATGAACTTGTGCATTTCCTCTGAAAGCACACCAAAGTCACGAAAACATATTAAGCTGCTCGCTGCACATATACATATATATATATGAAAAAGAAGATTGGAAAATAAAGTCCACTCGACGAAAGACTCCCGGGTTACGAGCCGTCAGACGTGGCTCATAACCAGAAAGCCTCTCGTCGGCTTCGGTCGCCGCAAAAGCCTCACTTTAAGGTCTACTTGTTTCTTGCAGTTCTGCAAACCTTCAATGTACCTGCACTATTACGTTCAGACGAGCTGTCACATGATTAATGCAAGGCGAAACAAAGATTACACACTAGTTTTTAGACAGGCACTGAACCCCATCACACCCACAAACAAAGCAATTATGTCCTTCGTTCTGCATTTCGTTATCTTCTACGACCCGCAGATGCAATGTCAGAAGGTTACACTAGTGATGTTACGTCCACTGCAACAAAACTAATCATATGTTAGCAGCACGGAATCAATCCGTTTGGATCAGGAAACGAGTCTCGTCTCATTCTGCGGCGCCGCGAAGTGATACGAGCTTCGGGCGGAGCAGTCGCTATACTGGCCAAAATTCTGCAAAACTGTTTTCTTGAACTTTGTCCACTGTCTAAATCATAGATAAAATCAATGCATTTTGAAAGATGGATTCACCTGTCTACGGGCATTTAGAAAGAGAATAAGAGGGCTATCCGGCTCAACCGGGGGGCCCGACCTGAAAAGAGGCTTCATGATATCGACGCGATGAAACAAAAATCATGGTTCGAAGTCTACATTGCTGCCGTCACACGGCGTGTCCGAACCTTACCTTTAACCTGTTGAACAGAAGTGAGTTTCTTCTCCCACAGGTCATCGAAGCCGTGAGGAGCAACAGGTTCAAAGTCAGCGGTGTACTGTCTCATCCCACCGGCGGCCGTGTAGCAGCACTTGCACATGCAAGAGTGGTATCGCAATCGGCCTTCGTCCAGGTACGGGTGCGCCAGAGCGTCCACCACGGTTATTCTCTTGTCCTAAAAAGCAACGCACACAGTTGATACAGACTGAACCTACGCATCAAGGACGGGGGATGAACGCGCGCACTGCCGTCTCTGACGCGTTTTCGCTGCTCTGAGAAGTGGGAAATGCGTACAAAGTTTTTGGGTGACTTACCGGATCAAAGACCAGCATCTGGCAGAGGAGATGCACCGCCTCGTGCGTCGCTTGCGACGACAGCGTGTACAGGGCTGTCAAGGAGGGGGGCTTAGCAGCTCGCCGCAGCATGTGGGTACGGGCGCCATCGCAGGCGTAGCGCATGTCTTCCAAGGAAGGAGTGCCAAGTAGCTCGGTGATCAGCTCGAGCTACGAGGAGGAACAAAATGTCTGTGTGGTGACGGCTCTTAAAATAAATTGGACTGAAAAACAAGTGCACAATATTTACATTCTACGTGGTCAACAAAATTCACGCAAGAAAGTAAATAATAGCCAAATTGCAAAATTAATTCCTTCAACAGGCCCTTCGTCTTAGCACGTGGTACGTCCGCTCCTCACAGAGGACAGGTCAGCTCGCGCACAACGAAACTCGAGGAAGATTTTCAGGCGTGAGAAAAACACGGCTTTCAAGATCCAACTTGGTTCTTGGATCCCGCACGCATATCCTTAATCTTAAGAACCTTGAGCGTTCCGAGCTAGAGCCATCGGGCAACTCACCTGCTGTACCGGGCTCTGCGCCTGGAAGAGAATGCGTCTTCCCAGCAGTTCTCCAAAAATGCAGCCGACGCTCCAGACGTCCACTGCTGCAGAATAGTGACGCGCTCCCATCAGAATCTCTGGTGCTCGATAGTACTGAGTCACTACTTCCTGGGTCATGTGCTTCGACTGATCCGGTTCTTCGACCCGTGCCAGACCAAAGTCGCAGATCTGCAAACACAACGAGAAGTGAAGCAAATTGTTTAAATGTTAAAAGAGGAAACTAAACAGCGAAAAAACATCTTAGGAATCGGGAAGGCAGACGTTTCTAAAAAGTGGAGCATCGACAGGACGAGGGACATGAGGATTCTCAAGTTTCTGTGCATCCATTTCAATTGTAATTAATTCAGACTACGAATGACTAAAATGGAAAACATTTCACAATCTATTTATTGAATAATAGTTAGGTTACACTGAAATTAGAAACAAAAAAAAAAAACATAAATTGAAACAAAGAAATGAATCGATGCCTGCAAAGAACAAATCTGTCTGCGTTCTTGTCTCATTCCAATCGACGACACAAATCGACTCTTTTCAAAATGGCGACTCCTTACCTTCAGAACACAGTTGCTGTTGACAAGCAAGTTGCCGGGTTTGATATCTCGGTGAAGAATGCGGGCAGAATGGAGATACTTCAGACCTGCACATAAAGCATTTTATTTCATTAATATTAGTCACTCTGTGATAGTTAAAAACCTTTAGCACCTATACTTGAGACTACGGTGGCTAATTACTACAAGATGCTTCGGCCCTGACGGAGAGGCTACGTTTGAAAGAAGGGTTTGGACTGCCCTGGCTTCTTTTGACTTCTTTCTTCTAAGCAAAATGTAACAAAACAATGGAGGTGGGATTTTGAAATACGGCAAAACAAATGATCATAAACACGACTAGAAATGAAGTACTAGATAATATTATTAACAAAATTAATAAGTACAAATATGGTGACGGTGCGAAGATCTTGAGGTTATATAAGAGAAACCGAAATTTTTAAGACATTAAATGGGTTACTGCAACAACAATTGTAATAATATGCTAACGAGAGCAGTAAAACTCTGTAACAGCAAACAATAACGTGGCTCGATCCTTTTCGTTGCTAAAGAAAGAGCAAACTTGCGTTACCTCGACGAAACAGAACAGCAAATGAAATTATGCAGAACGGAAGTGGGCCCAAAGGAACTGCGAGAGTTCCTTAACCTGCAGCTAGATGGCTCCTGCGTCACGGTCTGCTGCTGGCGAAGGTCGCATTTTGGGACTGATCAAGTGGATTGCGACGTCACAAAAGGCGAAGTGCACTGAACCCTTGTTATTCCAAGCAACATGTGCGCGCTATCACAAGCGCGACTCATAAGCACTACTTTGTATTCCGGTTGCATTTGCTTTTCCTTCCACGGCTTTAAAAGCCTTTGTCTCGTTCCGTACTTCATTTGGCAAGCGATTTCACGCGGAATTTCCATTTTGTCTCCCGCACTGTGGCCAAAAACGATGAGTTCACATTGTCATAATGTTTCCACTTGGATTTTCCACAGACAATAGTTACGGAGACTAGACAATTTTCAAGCAGAAATGTGTCTATAAATACGCTAATAAGATGGTAAAGTTGCGTCATATTGTGATATAATAAGTATATATTAAATCCTGTCGGTCTAATCACAATAAATTCTTATTGAATATTAAAATATTACAATAATTAACATTTAAAATATTAAATAATGTTCTTGATCGAATATTTCGATAAAGAACATCATTTAATATTTTAAATGTTAATTATTGTAATATTTTAATATTTAATAAGAATTTATTGTGATTAGACTGACAAGATTTAATAAATACGCTAATGTGTAACCAAAAATTCAATAATATTGAATGCTGAAAGTTTGTGACGATGGTGCGCTGTTGAAGTAAACTGTTTTCTGGATCGTCCAAGATTAAATAAAATCGATAAAAACCACGACGTTTCGGAGGTATTGCTGCTTCCACGATCAGGACGCCCTCATGATGGAGAAAGCAAGTACGTCTACACGAACGTCCTTACTAGGTTAATAATGACAAGCTCGGAAAAGCACATATATTAAATCCCCCCTTGTTTGATAGTTGACACGACATCAACACCAAATTTAATCCAAATCCGTCCAGTGGTTCTTGAGTTGAACAGACTGGGCAGACCACAAAGCGTTCTCGTTATGTATCTTATGCAAGGATACAATAAATAATAATAATAACAAACCAGATATTATAATCCGGAAAAAATGGAACTTCTCTTAATTGATGTAGCAATACCAACTGACAGGAACGTAATTAAGAATAAAGCGGGGAAAATATTTAAATACAAGGACCTTCTCACTGAAATACAGCGAATTTGGAAAGATTAAGCAAATGTAATCCCAATAATTATAGGAGCAACTGGAACTGTCTCCAAGTCACTCAGAAAATATTTGGCCGACATCCCGGGCGACCACGACATCAGGGGACTTCAGAAAACTGCCATTTTAGGATTTTCATACATCATTTCGAAAGACGCTGTCGTAAAATATGCAGTCATCCCTCACAATAAAACTATATAATGCATGTAACACGTATTAAAAACAAAATGTATTTCGGAAATGGCTGCTGCACCTCAGGGGCAAGGTTTGTCTCGGGTACACGGAAGTAAATGCCCTTTAAAGTGGTGAATAGATTGAATAATAATTCCTGATCAGAGGCTGCTTGCGACTTACCTCGGAGAATCTGGTACAGGAAGACTTTGATGTGGTCAGCTGAGAGATGCTGTGGCGATACAATGATCTTGTGGAGGTCACTCTGCAGGAGTTCCGTGATGACGTAACTGGAGGTCACAGGTTAAGGGCTTAATCAGAACCGCACGCAGCTGCAAAAGACACTCGAACAGAACAACGCGAGAGCTTGGCGATAGTCAAATGTTCACTTCTGGACCAGCGAAGGTCCTCGAGAACCAGCGGCATTGAACCCTAAGGTCCCAGCAAGATGTGTCCAGTCCAGAGGCGAGAAATCGGTCTCAAGATCTGGTGGCCTGCGCCACACAGTTACTTAGCAACAAACGGCGCTAATTGGGGTTTTACTGAAAGAGTGCGCATTTCGTACGGTTCTCATAACCAAATCATGTTTTCAATGGAGGCAGCAGGGACCGAGAAGACGGCCGTGACGAACTCAGATCCTACAACGAAGGAGGAACTTCATTTGGACGCAGGACAAGGTCCACTCAGCGCCGGGCTGTTGTGAACACGGTAATGACCGGGGGCACTCACCTCACGAAGGACTGCGCCCTGGGGCCATTTGCTCGCCTCTGACTTCTTTCCTTTGTGTTCGCTCGTGGAAGAGGTCGGCAGCGCCAAAGGAGACGCAAGGCCATCTTCAGCCGGCAGACCGACCTGGTGGTGGTGGTGGTGTTGGCCTTGGCTCCTCTGCCCGCCTCGACACCCGGACTGCCCAATCGCAGCTGGCGTCGAGTAAGTGGCGATTTGTAGCACAACACGTGGGGAGGCCGAATGCGATCTCAGAGACATCTGGACACAACTCACAAACGCTCAGACGTTCTTACTGGAAACATTTCCGAGCAGGTGAGCGCGTGTTGCGGCCAGCAGACAGGAAGGCGCAGAGAGAACAACTCGAGTTGCTTTCTCTCAGTTCACCGTCCTTGCTGAAGGCACTGCTTTGCATTGGAAGCAAACACAAGGTTCTTCGAGAACTGACAAGGCCCGGTGTCCTCTCCTACCTCCGATTTCCAGTCTACAAATCGTGCGCTGTTGCTGTCAATACCACGCAACGTGGCGCTGGGTTTGGCGATCGAAAAGCATTCTGGTCTACTTTGGCCAGAACTGAAGCCCCAAACTTGTCAGTATGACAAGCTCACAGTTTAAAAACAAGTAAATAATGTTTTATTTTTCGTTATAACTTGAAATCCATCCTCAAACCAAATTTAAGTTTCAAAATGCTCGCACATAATTTAATTTCAAGATACATCCTACGGTTGATCAGAGAATTTTCGTGTATTTTTCGAAGACCGATGTCATAAGCGCACTCTTAACATTTCTTAAGAACGAGGCGCAATTTGATTCTGCTGGTTCCACAGTAATCTGGGTGAACACGAGAAGATGCAAAGGCGACCCCGAAAACGCTGTAATCTTCCCCCTATCTCATCTAGACAACCAACTATAATGCAGCAAAGTCCTCACTAACAATTTGTAGTTCGATCATGGAATCAATAAATCCTGAGCGCCTTTTATGGGATCACCTGAAGAGGGGGTCACGACTTTGGAGGCTTCCACGTAGGAGGGATTACAAGAATGCTGGGAATTTCTTGATACGCTGAGAGACTATCAGATTCTCAAAATGGAGACAGAACCTCCAAGTTCTGGTGCTCAGTTACAAATAATCAAGAATTTGTTTTCACGTCACTAGGAACGACTTTTCTCTTCAAGAACTACGCACAGCTCCCAAGTGCCGATTAGGCAGTCTGGGACGACGCGCCTTTCTCCGGACTCCGCCCTCGCCGCTTGTCCGCGCCACTCTTTTCCCACGGCCACCAGGTTAGCTCTTCGGAACATTTCCAGGAATGTGTAAGGGGAACACCAGAGCACAGTCAGGCATGAGACGCTGATAGTCGCTCAACTGGTCTGCAAATTAACGGCCGTGTTCACAACAGATCACGGGACAGCCTTCCCGAGCGAGGCGAAGAATCTGTGCCCCTGCCGGGAATCGAATCCTCCCTGGCCTTCAACCCGACACAAAGTTCCAAAAATTACGAACAAGTTTTTACTGTCCTCGAGTTGGGCATCGCGGCCAACAGCCTCTCGCTGTCTGTCGAACCGCTGGACGAGGCAAACACCGAAGACAGTGTCGGTCTGCGATATAATCGCACGTGGTCTCGAGCCAAAGGCGTAGACCGTTCAATCAAAAATATATTCTTTCATGCGAAAGTTCGACTCTTGACGGAAATTCGTGTCTTGTGGGTTGTAGCACCGTGTAGCGTGGCAAACGTTTCAGAGGCTCCTGCTGCCCCCATCATCAGGGAGACGAGCCCCGGCCCCAGTCAGTCGCTACCGTGAGAATCTCAAGCCCAACTCTCAACAATTTTCTCCAAACGAGACTCGTCCAGGACACCCCAGACGCCCTAAGGGAAGCTCACAGACGAAGGGAGGGAGTCGATAGGTTGCAGAGGGAGAAGCTACGGACGGAGGGGGACTTTCACGGTTTGTGTTCATCGGAAAATATTATTTGGGCGACCAAATCAAAAAGGACGAAACGGACAGAAGAATGAAATTCAAAGATCCCCACAGATTTTTTTGCCGGAGATCTGAAGGGAACAGACCACATGGGATACCTAGAAGCAGACAATTCTACACGGGGGCTCTGCCAGGGGCCTGTGCACCACCGCGAAACTTGATTCCTCGACACACCGAAATCACTTCGGAAGAACGTGTCGCGAGCGACGGGTTCTCCGATAGTTCGCCTAAAGAAACAGCCAGTGCGATAAAATCAAATTCAGATGACGACAGCATCTCTGCCTAGCACCCTTCTCTTTGTCGAGGTCCAACCCGCGCGCGGCAGACTATTCGGCTAATTACAAAGCCCGGCGCACGCCGTCCACGCCCAGCCACCATTCAAAACAAAAGCAACATCTTTGTAATTAATTTGCGAAATCAGAGCCCGCCGGGGTAAGGGCGTAGGGCCCCAGAGGGGGGCGGGCAGCGCACGCACGCACGCACGAGACGCTGGCGTCACGAACAGCTGACTCCCCGTAGAACGCGGACGGGCGGTTGAATCCTACCGGGGGTGGGAGTGTGTTCGAGGAAAGACTTTACGAGGACAGATCCCTGGGACAGGCCGCGGACCCTTCCGCCCTCATCCTCTGCCCCTGCAAGTGATACGCCCTGCCATACTGCTGCAAGTTATTCAGACACGTGCCTCTTACGTCATCAGTGACAGATGTACCACGCACAATGAACACGAGAGCGGAGGGGAGGGAAGGATGTGAGTTATTTAAAGACCCCACCCGAAGCCTCACTGCCCCCTCCGAAAGGGGTAGTGACCTCCAGACAGGCTGGGAGAGAGGGAGCCAGGACTCGAGAAACGAACGGTCCTTTGTTCCGAAGGCAATGTGCACCACCGAACACACCACTTCCTGCAGTCCATGCTAAGATAATATTAAAGCGGACCTTACAGAATCAGGGCTTGATGGCGTGGACTATGTGGCTATCAGTTCCATGGTGCCATTCCGCCACTGAACTCTGAGGTCTTACGCAAAGTCAGAGCCTGCGCAGGTTCGCCAGTAAAATGCGATTCTTGTGTGGCGAGGAGAGGATGGATCTGATAACGCGACGCGTTAGCCAGCCACTCGGCTATTCGACCGAGGTCACGGACCTCGTGTTCAGAAGAACCTGCCACTCACCGGACCCTATCCCGTCCTACGACGACAAAGTCATCATGTCGCTGATGAACAGCGAACATCTGGCCCGTCACCCGAACGAAGGGGCTGCTCGCTCCTCGCGTCCACACTGCTACAGCGGAGTGGTTCGGACGAGCTGAACATTCACGAAAGCCACCGACCCGGAACCGTTCCGAGCGGGTGGTCAACTCAGTTCGGTGAGCGACATCTTGTTCTGCACGGCAGTCCGTCTTCAGAGAAGGTCGCTCCATACTGGAGCCTTAGCTTTCGACAACACAGGCGAGTTCATTACCGTGTACACAACAGTCCGCCAATGGGTCCTATCCTGAGCCACCTGAATCCAGTACAGCACCCTATTTCTTTGGGCTCCATTTTAATAGCATCCTCCTATATTCCGAAACGTCGAGACGTCTGTGGTAGGCATCAAAGACAAAGTCGCCTTTTCGAAGTGAACCGAGAACGTCAGACCGAAACGTCCTCGACAATGACTACTTAAACTAAGCAGATGGCTTACGGAACCCGAAAGTTCATCACCGAAATGACGAAAGCCCTCCACCGGACCCTGACCTGCAAATAAAGGTAAGAGTCACTTGAGAGACCTAGTCACAGACGGGAGGATGGATTTTAAACAAACATAAAGTGTGGTCGGATATGGGTTCGCGTGGGCGAGGAGAGGCGATTTCTTGACCATCTGAGCAACCATCAGCTTTGCGAGGACGACGCTTAAAACAGTCGGTCGTTTGTCATGTGGCCAGCCCGAAGATTAACTAAACCGACACTCACACCTGCAGCCAAGACGAGATATGACACGATAAGCTTTCTCCCTTGCTCGAAAGCGTAAATTGTGAACTAAATACAAGAAGGATACATTTCTTGGAAGAAGTCGAGATGCGGTGGTTGCAGAATGTCCAACGCCGATAAAACCTGAAACAGATGAAACACGTACGTCAGTTACCAATGCACGCGTCACGGGTCCCTCCACCAGGCACCAGCGGTGTCATTACACCTCCGAGTCTGCTATTCAAACGCAGCCAACAGTTAATTTAGGTCCTCTAACTAACCAAAAAGCCATTGACAAGAAATTAGCCGCTGCGTGCTGAAAGACTTCTCTGGCCTTCGATGGTACTTGTTCGCGTGAGTCATTCCAAAGAACTAAAATGATCAGGCCACGTAATCGAAACATTGTACGGACCCACAGCCCGCCAAAGAATCCTCCTCTGGGCCAGGCTAATGGTCCACGCCCTTACACCCTAAAGACCAATTTTAATAATATATTTCCATCCACTTACGTTCTCGTGTTTGAAGAAACACAGCATCTTCAGCTCGCGAAACACGCGTTTGGAAGACACCAGCGACTGGAAGACGTTGGGCAACTTCTTCAGGGCCACTCTCCGCCCGTCTCGCGGGTCTGTCACGGCCCTGGGGGGAAAAAAAACATCATTAGCGCCCCAAATGCAGTGCGGGACTTTTGCGTACGACCAAGACGTGCTGCTGAGCTAACGAAAAAAGATGGAGGATAAGGGGAGGTCTAGCAAAACTGTAGCGATACAAATAAGCCGTACTGTTATGATCTCTAGTAATGTCGAGGCTTTAAATACGGGATATTATTAAAAACGATCTAGGTCGGCCCTTGTAAACCAGCGACACTGCTACACGTCTGACAGTCGCTACGTCTTTTATGGAACCAAAGTTCGATGCTGCGGCACGCGCCGGATCATATTAGCCAGCTGAATCCATTCTGCACCCAGACGACCCACGAAATTCAGCGACTGAAATATGCCTAAACGTGAAAGACTAGTTCAAAACAAAACACAAAGCAGACGACGAGAGAGTTCTAAAAATCCTCACTTCGTACGGACGGCGAACTTCTCGAAGAAACAAAGAAAACGAAGCTGATGTTTGTCTTCTGGGTTGCAACGCCCCGTGGACTTGGAAGAGACGATACCAATGCTTCGTATGAACATACTGCTTCCTTCTTCAGGACTACGTCCACCAACCCACAAACCGACAAGGCGTTACCACCCAGAAGATCAACACAAGACATCTTCGCCGCTGTGATAACCTCAAATCTCACAAGGAAAAATAATTTCCCAGTTCCGGCATAATCTGGGGAGATAAGATAATGTTGGCCGCACTGTGGAACCATTACACGTGTGTCATCACGAGAGCGCATTTATTAAAGGCTTTCACCTCACTAAGGGGCGCTGGTTAACGCTCTGCACACCTGCAGGACAACGCACGGCGCCTGCTTCGGATTCGGGAGGTCTCGGCCCAGAGACCGGCGAGTCTCACCAAGGTCTTACGTGATATTCCCCAGGCCCTACAGGCAAATACCGGGATAATATACAAAGTTCCACTAGATGATGATTGCTCCCGACGGTTTACAGATCATTAATCGACGGTTCCGAAATGCAGTCGCAACTTTAACGCGTTGGCATTTCGTAAGAATTCCGTTCATTTAACATGCGTCACGCCTGACCGGACACTGACCACGGATGAACGTCACGCATTTCTTGACTTCGCCGTCTCACAACAAAATCGACGACGCCGTTAACTCACCCGCGTAACGCAGACGACAAGCGTTAAAAGCGGACTTCTTGCGGGACGAAATTTACTTCGAACGCCTTACACACACACAAACGCTGATCACGTGTGCCGCAGAACAATCGCGGGCGAACACTTTTGTTCGTGCCAGACGCCAGATAATACGCTTTCGAAATCAATTTACCCTAAACGTTCTGAGAAACGCGTCACTTCGTAATCGGAGAATCGTCACTCAGCCAACGAAATGCAAACACACGTGCGCGCGTTTATAAAAATATTCGCTGTAATCTACTGTAGACACAAGAAGCGCAAAGCTGCTTACGGTCCTCAGCCTACATCTGTTTATTCCGCGGGTCTGCCAACGAGGAAGGACACGGAGGACAGAAGCGATCACGGGACACAGAAAGAAGGGTCGAAATATCAAAATAAACACAAAGAATAGACGCCTAAAAATCTGTACTGATAAAAAACCCGTGGTTGAGGACGGGGCTTAATCAACGACCACGTAAACAATTCTAATATTTGATGTTCCTTTACTACGTGTAAAAGCAAAAGTGGTTATGCTTCAAAGACAGCAAAACATTCCGTACCGTCCCACAGAAACGTCGTTGAATGAAACGAAAGAAAAATGCGCCGGGTGTCCGAAGAGCCTCCTTCCTGCGCGCTTACTGGGGGCATTCCTTAACCAGGGCGGACGGAAGCCGTCTGCAAAACGGCGCGAATACGCCGAGACAACTAGCGCGGGGTTCGGTTCCAAGCAGGGCCCGTCTTTCTCTCTCTACCACAACGTCCAGACACGTTCTGAGTCCACAAAGCCGAGACGAACAATGTCTCCAGCTATGCCCACCTTTATCCAGCTGGGACGGCTGACCAGCGATCCACGTGCCGGCACCGATAACCCGAGCGACCAAACTTGAACTACTTAGAGGCACTGAACGTGCTTTGTTTCCTGTATCCGTCTGCTGGTTGGTTGGTGACAACTGACGTCATGCGTACAATCACGCAGCTGGCCAAGAAATTCCCGGCCCTGTATGAAAGGCGAAGGTCTTCCTCAAGACCCCGACATTAGACCCTACCTTGAGCCAGATTAACGCAGTCCACACCTCCACATCCAATTAGACAAGTTCTGTTTTAATATCGTAATCCGAGGACGTGGTTGGTGTCTTCCCTCAGATTAAAATGTCGCGTTTATTCTGATGTCCCCCATGCGATCCATTTATTAATAGAAGTAGCTGCACGGGCGGTCTGTGGCCCCTGAATATGCGATTGTCTTCGTCACCCTGGACGGCCCGCAGCCACGCAGAACGCTGCTTTAAACACCTCCGCAACGTCGGACTCAGGCGACGGAAACCTCTTGCAGCCAGGACCTTTGTCCTCGAGGGTATCCGGTGCTTTCACCTTCTTGGGGGCGAGGTGGAGTGCACAAGATCGTTGTCCACAGCCAAGGCAAAGGTGCTCGATAACCCCCTAACCTACTTCCCAGGCCGAATGACACCTTATCAGCCACGGAACAACCCACATCTCGTGTGTTCGCACGCAGAACACATCACGGGAAATCATTAGCCCGTTTGCACGAAAGCCCGTTTTTTCCAGTTCAGCTACTGACGTTATTTCCCCTGCGCGAGGGCGCCTGCACGCAAAACAAATTTCTGAAAGCTCCAACACATCGCGTTTACTGGTTTTATAAGAATGTGATTTTACACAATTTACAGAACGCGAGTTTACAGTCACAAACGAGTTTCGTAGTCACAGGCAACACGAAATTTTGGCCGAAACGCAGGAATCAAACATCAACAGTAGTTTTTGGACTCGTGTCCCCTCGATCCGGACTCCAAATACCAGTCCAACCGGCGCAGCGTCGTAACTTCACTTTGGATCCGTACAAATTTGGCACAGAAGCCGTGGCCATACGAAGGAGAACGATCACAGGGCGCGACATCCTCCGCGAAGGACGCTGTACAGACTGGCGACGCCAAACAGCCCCGTGCAGACAGAGAGACAGAAACTGGAGGCCGCTGCTCGCGTCCGGGCGCAGGAACAGACCTCAGCTCCAAAAACAGGAGACAACTGAACGGAAAAAGAAAAATCCTCTGATGAAATGTACCAGAAAGCAGACGCTGAGCGCAGCGTAGCACAAGAGCCTACTACATACGGGCCGGAAGCTGGCACCTGACACAATTTCACAACAGAACCGGAGAAAATGAGTCTTATGAACTCAATGGCGACGTGTTCCACTTTCTTCTTGAAGCACTGATACACGCAGTTGTGGGAACAATAAGACTCCACCAAGAAGTTTTTGTATCCACGTGTAAGGACCATTACAAAGCATACACGACCAAGCCCAATATAAACAGACGAACAGCGAGGGCAGCTCCAGGTTCCGCTGTGGCCACAGAAACACGTGAGCCCGTGAGCCGCTCAACTGAGCCGATAAGCAATTCGGAGTTCGGCTCTCGTGACCCTCCGCCAGAGTCGCCAACTTCACTCAGTCCCTCCAGCAGCGCTCATCAAATCATGTTGGAACTTGAGGAAGTTATCGTAATATTTTATGGCATAAATATTATAAATGATTACAAACAACTTAATGGAAGCTCACTGAGCCTCGTGTGAGAGCAGTCTTAAGGAGTCCGTAGTCACAGCAAAATGACATGAAAGAGGGGACGATGGGGCAAATGCACCAGAAAATGGCAGCAGGGGGCTGTCCTTCTGACTTCCTCCAGGGAAACTGCGGTTCGTTCAATAAATTATCAGAAAACGCCAAACAGAGCGACACTGTCGGCCCGGTCCGTCAGACCTTGTGCCGTCTGTCTGCAGGTGCCCGCTGCCACGCACGGAGCACCTGCCGGCAGATGCGCGGTCAAGGGCCCCGCCGTCACGCCACCCACGCACCGCGGATCAGTCGCACAACTGAACCTGACGTCACAGTTGGCACCGGGCTCGAAATAAACACAACTAAGTCTGGAGGAGCCAACGCCACGCTTCTGAAACGTCCGTTGCGTAATAATGGCCCATCAATTTACACCCAAGTTTCCAAATTGGGCTCTTCCCTTCTGTGCGCTTCCGAATCAAAATTCTCTGCACAGATTTTCCCGTTTATTAGAACACGCCGAGTGTGACATTTGAAAGAACGCCATTTTTTTCGTAGCTGAACTGAAGATACGCGAAAGAAACTGATAATTGCGAAGGCGTTGAATGAATTCGACTGGGCCCCAGCGGCGGGCTCTTGTGAGCATGGCGGTAAATAAACCTTCAGGTTCAGTAAAAGTAGAAAAATTCTTCACTAGCTGTGCAACTATCAGTTTCAAGGATTGCTACGTACTGTTGATTGGGCGGGATTGTCTCATTTTGGATTCTAAACGAACCGAGTTGGTGATAAATTCGGGGTTGCACTGACCACGGCTGCACCCGCGGACGTATTAAATGAGTTAATTTTTTGAGAACTAACGACTGAACTCGGGGAACACATGGCCCGAAAGAAGTTGACAAAATGTAAGACGAATTATAAGACGATACATTTTAAATCTGAACGTCCGAGGATTTTCCAGAGGTTGAAAGGCCTACTTTCTGCATAAAAACGCTGATTGTTCCTTCAGTGCGGAGGCAACGGAAGTTCAGCGGTCTTCGGAGGAATTCCTGCGCCGAGCGGAGCCACCTGGCTCTTACCCAAGCCAACACGAGGGAGGAGGAGACGTCCCCACACACAGCAACAAACACCCGAGACCTTGGCAGCGACGAAACAGCCTCGAGACAAACCAGATGAAACAAAAGACGTCCACACACAATATGTTACGAAGACGCACATACACGAGCGCCAGTGGACGGGCAGGTGCAGACCGCGAGGCCAGTTCTTGTGCTGGAAAGGCGAGGGTATGTTT